TCTAAATACAGGCATATACAGATGTAAATATATTTATATACAATGAGGGAGAAATAGATCTATGTCCATACATATATAGGTTTAGTATAAAGGAAACAGATGGACAGTGGCCCCTACTCATGTACTCCCTTAACACAAGAACACTTTGTTCTCACTATTCGGCAGTCTGAAATGCTCACCTTCCTGGCACGATCACTGAAGACAACGGGTGCACAAACAAATGTGGTGAAGAAAGCTGATGGTGCCTGGCTATCAAAAGATATAGAATCTGGGGTCCTATGGGCTGGAAGATAAACAAGTGGCCATGTAACTGAGAAACAAGAAAGCCCACATGGAAGAAGCACACCAGACTGTGAAATCACAAGGAGTCCTAGGGATCAGGGATCAGGCACCTAATACCAAAAAAAACCCAAAACCATAGCATTGTGAAAGAGAGGAGTGCAGAGTGGGGAACCAGGGCCCATCTGTGGGAAATTAGATGTCCCCTTGCAGAAGGGCTGCGGGGAGGACATAAGTCAATCAGGGTGCAGTGTAGCAATCATGAAATATACAATTTTCCTCTAGTTCTTGAATGCTTCCTCCTCCACACTATCATGATCCCAATTCTACCTTGCAAATCCGTCTGGACCAGAGGATGTACACTGGTACAGATAGGAACTAGAAACACAGGGAATCCAGAACAGATGAACCCCTCAGGACCAGTGGTGAGAGTGGCGATACTGGCAGGGTGGAGGGAATGTGAGGGAGAAAGGGGGAACCGATTACATGGATCTACATATAACCTCCTCTCTGGGGGACGGACAGAGAAGTGGGTGAAGGGAGACATTAGATGGTGCAAGATATGACAAAATAATAATAATCTATAGATTATCAAGGGTTCATGGGGTAGGGGGAAGCGAGGAGGAAGGGGAAGGAATGAGGAGCTGGTACCAAGGGCTCAAGTGGAAAGCAAATGTTTTGAGAATGATGAGGGAAATAAATGTACAAATATGCCTGACACAATGGCTGCACATATGGATTGTGATGGTAGTTGTGCGAGCCCCCAATGAGATGATTTAAAAAAAAACAACAGCAAGGGAAAAAAGAGTGAAGGGGTGGGGTATAGCCTGTCAATCACGTCTAAGCTTGATGACCTCATTTGAAGGCATGATGGAGATAAATAGCTCACTGGAGGCCAGACAAAATTCTCTGCTTTGGGTTCCAGCTGACAAAACATGTGGGGCTGTGCTGATGGAGCCAGAGCCCTTGAGCTGGAGGAGCCACACAGAGACCCACATCAGCTCTGGGCTCCTTCCATCACCACTGTACCCACAAGCTTTTCCATCCACTGGCCGTGGTTTGCCTGCATTCCGCATCACAGCATGTGTTGTGTGAGTATGAAAAGGAGTTTTGGACACATGGGTTAATATCAGACATATGGACATGATCTAGACTGGGTCTTGAAGTCAAACCCACTCTCTTTGTGAGACATTCCTGTTGACAAGCCATGTGGAGCTTTGCTGATGGAACCAGAGCCCTGGAGCTGGAGAAGCAATGTGGAGACATACACCAGCTCTGAGATGCTTTCACCACTACTGGATCCACAGGGTTTTCCACGTACTGGCCTGTGATCTGCATTCGGCATCATTGAATGCATTGTGTGAGTCTAAAGAGGAATTTATAGACTCGTATGGGACATATGGGATAATATCAGACTTATGGACTTGATCTGGACTGGGCTAAGATGTTTTTTCAATATACAATTCCTCTTTTATATAAAGTTCTTTCATATACACACATAAATGTCTATAAATTTGTTTCTCTAGTCAACCCTGACTAATACAACCTTTTTAAACATTCTCTACAATTAAATATGGTGGTGCCGTCAAGTAAGCATTGGACTACAATTGAAAAGGTCGGTGCTTCAAAGCAGCTGTTCTAAGAGAGAAAGACAGATTAGCTGCTCTAGTATAGATTTACAACTTCAAAAACACTATATAGGGTTCCTGTGAATCACAATCAATTCATTGGCAGTGGGTTTGGTTTTGGTTTTATTAATGAGTGTAGTATTAAGTTTGGGGTGGGTAGGGGGCCAGCCCCCACCACTACTACTACCCAAGGGTTTAGTAAGCACAATTGTATGGTTGAGATATATAAGTATTATATTAAAGTCATCGAGAGAATGAGAGATAAAAGAGATATTACAATGATGCA